TTTTTTCATTTTTCTTTTATTATTCATATGTGCATACAAGGCTTGGTTTATTTCTCCCCCCTGCCCCCACCCCCTCCCTTACCACCCACTCCACCCCCTCCCGCTCCCCCCCTCAATACCCAGCAGAAACTATTTTGCCCTTATCTCTAATTTTGTTGTAGAGAGAGTATAAGCAATAATAGGAAGGAACAAGGGGTTTTGCTGGTTGAGATAAAGATAGCTATACAGGGCATTGACTCACATTGACTTCCTGTGCGTGGGTGTTACCTTCTAGGTTAATTCTTTTTGATCTAACCTTTTCTCTAGTACCTGGTCCCCTTTTCCTATTGGCCTCAGTTGCTTTAAGGTATCTGCTTTAGTTTCTCTGCATTAAGGGCAACAAATGCTAGCTAGTTTTTTAGGTGTCTTACCTATCCTCACCCCTCCCTTGTGTGCTCTCGCTTTTATCATGTGCTCATAGTCCAATCCCATTGTTGTGTTTGCCCTTGATCTAATGTCCACATATGAGGGAGAACATACGATTTTTGGTTTTTTGCGCCAGGCTAACCTCACTCAGAATGATGTTCTCCAATTCCATCCATTTACCAGCGAATGATAACATTTCGTTCTTCTTCATGGCTGCATAAAATTCCATTGTGTATAGATACCACATTTTCTTAATCCATTCGTCAGTGGTGGGGCATCTTGGCTGTTTCCATAACTTGGCTCTTGTGAATAGTGCCGCAATAAACATGGATGTGCAGGTGCCTCTGGAGTAACAGTCTTTTGGGTATATCCCCAAGAGTGGTATTGCTGGATCAAATGGTAGATCGATGTCCAGCTTTTTAAGTAGCCTCCAAATTTTTTTCCAGAGTGGTTGTACTAGTTACATTCCCACCGACAGTGTAAGAGGGTTCCTTTTTCCCCGCATCCTCGCCAACACCTGTTTGTTGGTGTGTTGCTGATGATGGCTGTTCTAACAGGGGTGAGGTGGAATCTTAGTGTGGTTTTTAATTTGCATTTCCTTTATTGCTAGAGATGGTGAGCATTTTTTCATGTGTTTTCTGGCCATTTGAATTTCTTCTTTTGAGAAAGTTCTGTTTAGTTCACTTGCCCATTTCTTTATTGGTTCATTAGTTTTGGGAGAATTTAGTTTTTTAAGTTCCCTGTATATTCTGGTTTATCAGTCCTTTGTCTGATGTATAGTTGGCAAATATTTTCTCCCACTCTGTGGGTGTTCTCTTCAGTTTAGAGACCATTTCTTTTGATGAACAGAAGCTTTTTAGTTTTATGAGGTCCCATTTATCTATGCTATCTCTTAGTTGCTGTGCTGCTGGGGTTTCATTGAGAAAGTTCTTACCTATACCTACTAACTCCAGAGTATTTCCTACTCTTTCTTGTATCAACTTAAGAGTTTGGGGTCTGATATTAAGATCCTTGATCCATTTTGAGTTAATCTTGGTATAGGGTGATATACATGGATCTAGTTTCAGTTTTTTGCAGACTGCTAACCAGTTTTCCCAGCAGTTTTTGTTGAAGAGGCTGCTATTTCTCCATCGTATATTTTTAGCTCCTTTGTCAAAGATAAGTTGCTTATAGTTGTGTGGCTTCATATCTGGATCCTCTATTCTGTTCCACTGGTCTTCATGTCTGTTTTTTGTGCCAGTACATGCTGTTTTTATTATTATTGCTTGTAATATAGTTTGAAGTCAGGTATTGTGATACCTCCTGCATTGTTCTTTTGACTGAGTATTGCCTTGGCTATTCGTGGCCTCTTGTGTTTCCATATAAATTTAACAGTAGATTTTTCAATCTCTTTGATGAATGTCATTGGAATTTTGATGGGAATTGCATTAAACATGTAGATTACTTTTGGGAGTATAGACATTTTTACTATGTTGATTCTACCAATCCATGAGCATGGGAGATCTCTCCACTTTCTATAGTCTTCCTCAATCTCTTTCTTCAGAACTGTATAGTTTTCCTTGTAGAGGTCTTTCACATCTTTTGTTAGGTTTACACTCTGCATTCCTTGATGTGGGGACTTGTATAGTTCTTGGCATATAGGAATTGTTTGATAAGTGTTTATTCAGTAAAGGAATGGAGAAATGAAGGAAGGCATGAGGAAGTAGAAGGAGACTCTGATCTCATGTCCCCATGTCTTGTAGGACCCATCTGCTAGCTGACTGATTTGTTTTCCCCCCTCTCTTCCTCTCAGGTTCTTTTATGAGCTGTCTGGGAGATGGCTTGTGCTGGGCACTGGGAAAGTGGAGGTGAATGAAGTGTTCTCTCGGGTACAGGGGGCTCACCTCTTCTCACCTTCTGCCTCTTCTACGTCTGCTTCAGTTTCACACTCCAACATTAGTAAGGAAGCCCCCAGCAGCCTGCTGCCATCTTGGTCATGGAAGGTGGTCTAGGTCAAGGCCCTGGTGCTCAGGGCCTGAAGAAATTGGACTTGTCAAGCCCTCCAGAAACATGTCCCTCCAGTATTGGTCCCTGAATACTGTGTTGGTAACCCCAGTTCGCTCCTTTGTGACATCTGAGTTGTGGTGGTGGCTACTTTGAAAAGATTCTCCAAATCTTCTCCCTGGCTGCAGGGACACCATAAATAGCTGCTCTGTGGGTCTCGAGCACAGTGGTTTCCTGTTCATACTTTTCTAAATGATGACCCCAGAGAAGTGTTTGTTGCGTTTGGCCTCTCTGGGTGACTGGGAGCATGTGATGTCTGACTTGTTAGACAAAGATGCCTGCCAGTAACTTCCAGTGGGTGATGTGATAAATTTCATGGAATGGTACTGGCCTGCCTGGCCTGAGATGTGTGAACCACCTCCATCCAGGAGGGGGAGGCCACAAAGTGGGTGGAGTTTGTTAGTGCATTTGCATGCCTGGGCTTGTGATCTCTGGATTGTGGGCTTTATAAATGACCCTTGATCCTCCTCACAACCCTATGACGGGCAGCAGAACAGGTGGGATAAAGGAAAACACCACAGTAGGGAAGGGACTGTGCCCTCTGGTGGTTTGATCACAAAAAGCTTGTAGATCTTGGACCCTTCCTGTTTCTTTCTGGGCTTTATTTCTTCTTTGAAATAGGGTTAAGTAAGTCCCATGCTTGCTTATATAAATTATATATAAATTAGTGATTATATAAATTAGTGGGGGAATTTGCAAAGAGATTTGGTTGCAGAAGGAAGCAGCCTCATAACAATAAGAGTTTGTTTATCCATCTTATAGGTAAGGAAAATTGAGCCTCTAAAAAGAACATTCATCTCTAGCTCATTGGCAGAATGCAGAATGGGGTAGCCACTTTGGAAGACAGTCTGGCAGTTTCTTACAAAACTAAACATACTTGGCTTGGTGTGGTAGTGCACACCTGTAATCCTAGCTACATAGGAGTTGTTGGTAGGAGGATCATGGTCTGAGGCCAGCCCTAGGCAAATGCATGAGACTTTAATTGAAAAACTAGAGCAAAAAGGGCTGGGGATGTGGCTCAAGTAGCAGAGCATCTACCTAGCAAGCACGGGGCCCTTAGTTCAAACTCGAGTACTGCCCCCTCTCCCCCGAAAAAAGGCAGCACATTTAATTTCTAAGGCAGTAAATATTGGTAGCTGTAATCCACATAAATGGTTTCTTTGTGGTCCTCAGTAATGTTGGGAGATAAGACAGATTCTGAAACCAAACAGTTTGCCATCTGTTGCTCAAGGCTGTATCACCTTGAATGTGATACTTTGTGAGACTTTAGAGACACCACTCCTGGATAAGTTGTTGGGGGGAAGCTGGTTCTGTTCAGGGTTCTTCCGTGCATGGAGCCTCACTGTAATGTGAGTGGTCCTGGCCCTGTGGGCAGCCTCAGTAGAGGCACTGCTGATCATGCTATTATTATTATTATTATTATTTTTATTTTTGGCAGTATTGGGGTTTGAACTCAGGGCTTCAAGACCACTTAAACCACTCTGCCAGTTTTTTGTGTTGGGTATTTTCAAGATAGGGTCTCATGGACTATTTGCCTGGGCTGGCTGGCTTGAACTGCTGTCCTCCTGATCTCTGCCTCCCGAGTAGCTAGGATTACAGGCATGAGCCACCGGCACTCAGCCAATCATCCTGTTAATGTATGGTCAGCTAGCTGCCCAGGGCTGTGCCTCCATCCTCAGCCCACACGGTGTCTGCTGCACTTGGCCCTGACTGTATGAGTGAGCAGGTTCTCTGTTGGGTGGCAGGCTTCTCCCTGGGTGGGGTGCTCTGGGCCCAGCAAGTTGTAAGTGGGCCACGTTAGAGCCCTTTGTGGTCTATGGGTAATTTCTGTGATGTTGAAATCTCTCGTTAGCTTTTGTTCCAAGACAACCCTTGCACCGAGTCAGTGCTTTACGTGCATTGTGCCATTGAGCGTCTGATATGAGGTCCATTTCACAGGTGAAGATCATGAAACTCAGAGTGCTTCCACTTGAGCAAAGCCCCATAGCTGGGATGATAGGGCCTGGACTTTTGCTATTTCTGTCTGACTGGGGATGGAACCCAGGGCCTTGCACACCTAGGCTAGCGCGTCTAGTGTGACACTAGTGTGACACAACCACTAGTCACACCCCGAGCTTGGTACCCCTGTTTGGTTAGCTCTTCATCAGTAGGGTGATCATCTGATTTGTGGTTTAAGCTAGGATACTTTTGAGCATGAAAGGAGACACCTTTCATACTTCACTGGGACCACAGGCATAAGCCTGGACTTCCCTAGCGAAGGGAGCATGTCATCACTGTTTCTCAGCTTCTCCTTTCAGCTTTCTGAAGACCCTTGGGGATGCCTTTCCCTTCCTTACAGGTGGGGAAACTGATCCTGGAGAAAGCTGCTTCTGTTTGTCCCCTGGCTCTTGATTCCTAGATGCCTGCTTAGCTGTTGTCTTGTGCCTCCTCCTGACCCCACAGCACCTGCGAGGCAGGTGGAGGACTTCGATTGCTGAAGTGCTGGAATCTCTTGAAAACCAGCAACCTTTGTAGTGACCAGCATTCAAGCTGGAAAATGTACATCTAGAAAAGATTAAAGAAAAAATAAAACTAAACTAAAAATGGAGGGTCCTGTCAGCAGAAAGGAAGAGAATGCCGGGGTGTTTGCTTCCTCTTCTCTGATCCTGAGCTTTCCTCCTGGGCCTGGCTGTGACCCATCTGTCACACAGTTGGTGGATGTCCCTCTGGGCAGAGAGATAGGGAGGGGACAGCTGATACCAGTTTTCTGTCAGAGCAGACTTGTTTGGGTTGGTCAATTTCTTTTCCTCCTGGCCCAAAAGGCAAATTTGGTGACTTCTTTTTTCTGCTCCGATGAGGACACACATTTGACAGTTCATTTTTGTGACTCATGAGAGTGCCACAGTTGCAGAGAATACCTAGGGAAACCTGAGGTTACTGGTGTGCTAAATATAACGAGTTGGGCCTGTGATGTTGGAGCCCACAAAGCCCTGTGTGTGGGGCTTGGTATCTGGTTCAGACAGAAATAGATGCCTACCAAGGGCAGGATGGCATTAGCACTTGCAAATTTAGTCTCTGTCCTGCTGCCTGACTATCTGCTGATTTTTTCTGTCTGTTCCTTAGGGAGCGCCATCTAGCACTGCGAGGAATTGTGGGTTTGCCTCTGGCAAGATATGTGACTCACACATATCTTGTTGCTCATGGTTTGGGTGGAAGGAGGCTCCTTGGTCTCCCTGGGGTGAGGGGTGTACAGAGCCTCAGGAATGTGCTTGCTGGGCCCCTTGCCTCTCCCCGTGGAGTGGTGTCATCTAAGGAGAACTCCTGTTTCTGGCAAATATTATGTAGCAACTCAGGGTGCCTTTTCCTCAGGTCACCCCTTCCTCACTGGGGTGTCACTCTGTGTTTGCAGGGGAAAGATGGAGACGCTGAAGGACAAGACCCTACAGGAGCTGGAGGCAATGCAGAATGATCCAGAGGCAATTTCCCGGCTGGCTTTGGAATCTCCTGAGGTAGAGGGAGGCTGTTGCAGGGCCCAAGGAAGGCCAGCAAATGTGTCTTAAGGATGCTGGCTTATTGGGAGTTTTAGCCAAATTCATCACCCTGGTTTGAACCTAGCCAGAAGAGCCCCTGAAGCTTCAGGCCAGGTCTTGGGGTTCTGGGAGCCTTGGGAGTGGCAAGGAGTTCAGGACCCCCCATTTGGACTTGGATTCTTGGGACCTCCCAGGGGCCTAGACACCCCAGGAGTTGGTCTAACCTCAGTCTGGAGACAGCTCCTTAAAACCTGGTGTGGTTTAATGCCTACCTTTGTCCACAGTGTGACCCTGGGGTTTCAGGTAATTCTCAGATTTCTAGGAGCTGTTCTTGGATGGGATGTAGCTCATCTCTGTTCTATCCAGTTTCCCATCATAACTGGCATTTAATCCTTTCAGCTCCTAGTCCCTCGTGGGGACAAACACAACCCTACCACCTGTATAGAGCTTTGCACTGAAAAAATGACTTTCCTTGCCCTCTTTGCCCCATCTCCTGTGATTTATGCAGGATGGGAGAGGTTAAGTGACTGATGTGACCACACAACTGGAAATATTCAGTCACCCCGAGTGGCTGCAGTTTGCCCACTGTGCTAGAAGCTCCTGCCTCCTACTCCTGATATGAAGGAGAGACACAAGCACAAATAACAGATTAGCATTTCACCCTGGTGAGGTTATTTTCGCTGATGAACGTGTGTCTCCTGTGACTTCACAGTGTGTTAATAAAAATGGAAGTATAGCTGCTCACCCAGCGCCCCCTTGTGGCTCCCCCCAGAGCACTTCTGTGCTGTGCTCTTGATCTCCACCCAAGTGAGGTGCTCTGTGGGGTTGGAGGTGATGCAGGATTGGGTTGAAAAGAACTGGTGGGCAGAGAGGTCTGAGGACTCCATGTGGCACATATCCTGCTGCCCTAATACAGGGTGAACTTGTTTGACCAGGATGGGAATCAAAGGTCATTGTGATTAAGTTCCAGGGCTGACTAACTCCCATCGTTAATTACCTGTGAGTTCTGCAAGTGCCTTACCAGTCACGGGTTTTCATTCCTTCATCTTCAGTTTGTTTTCCCTTACAGGTTGAGTGTCCCTTATCCAAAACTCTTGGGGCCAGAATTATTTCAGATTTTGGAATTTTTGCATAGATTTACTGGTTAAACATATGTCATCCAAAAATCTGAAATCTGACATTTCAGAGCATTTCAGATTTTGGATTTTTGGATTAGGAATGCTTGACCCTAGTAAGCACTAGATATTTCTGGAATCTGTCATGAGCACAGTGTTAGGGAAATTCCAAGGCTGTCTCTAAAGTGCATGGAGCTCCTCCTTTCTCTGTATATTGGGCTAAGAGATTATGCTGTGTCTCTGTACAAATGGACAGTTATCATTTAGCAACATGTATCTGTCTATTTTCTTTTTTTTTAATTTATTTTTTCTTTTATTCATATGTGCATACAATGTTTGGGTCATTTCTCCCCCCTTCCCCCCACCCCCTCCCTTACCTACCCCGTGTCTATTTTCTATTGTTTAAAAAAAGGAAAAAAACTTAAAAATGGGGTATGGAAGGTCAGCAAAGGGTGGGTTTGAGATGTTTGGATGGGTTAAGTGGGCATTTTGACAACATGGCTTCTTTTGTCATGTTTAATTGTGATATTTGAAGAATGTCCTTGCAGTTTAAGATGATACTTTTAAAATAAAATTCTCTTCCTAATGATGACTTGAGCCCTGCCACTCTGGGAGAATCAGCAGAACCTGTAGGATCTTATTATGAATTGACATCTCTATTGTAATTTTGTTTATTTTTAAGTTTTCTTTTTTGTTTTTATAGGAAAGAAAAGCTCAGTTTTAAATGTTAAAAGTGTACAAGTTGCTTTGTTACAATAAAACTAAATGTGTACAAAAAAATAAAGAACTTGGTAGAAGAAGCCTTTACCTAATTGTCACTAGCAGACTTCCAGGCTGAGCCGGCTGGTACGCTCTGGTGAAGCACAGACTCAGGGAAAATGAAAACAGACACAACCTTTTTGGCAAAAAGCAACTTGAATTTCATGGTGTGTAGTCATGCCTGATCCATCAATTTGAAATCTCTGAGGGAAAAAACTACTGCATGTGGCTTTGGGCAGGAAAGAAGTAGAGTAGACTACTTAGACTTTCAAAACCCTTTGACTGGTTCTTCTACCATGGACCATAAAACAGTTGTTGAGTCTGGGATTGTGAGAAGACACAGGAGCCCACTTAGTTTGGGATGTGGGTACTGCATGGAGAAGGATGTTTCTCGGTATAAAAGAGAGTGAATGGGCCAAGGCAGGGTGGCCGAGCTCCCTTATGTGCAAAACATATTGACCTTGTACAAAAATGGATGTCAGAGGGCTTCATAGTGAACCCCTAAAAGAGAAAGAATTGAAATTATGGGGTGAGCAGAAATGAGGACAAGTTTAGAGGAAAATTATTATGATGTAGATTTATTGGTTAAGACCCAAGGAAAAGGCAGAGGATGTATGGGGGGCTGCCAGAGGGTTGGGGGCCCTGCAAGAGGTGGCTGAGCAAGAGGGCTTCCAACTGAGGCCAATAGGAAAAGGGGAACAGGTACTAGAGAAAGGTTAGATCAAAAAGAATTAACCTAGAAGGTAACACCACGCACAGGAAATCAATGTGAGTCAATGCCCTGTAAGCTATCCTTATCTCAACCAGCAAAACCCCTTGTTCCTTCCTATTATTGCTTATACTCTCTCTACAACAAAATTAGAAATAAGGGCAAAATAGTTTCTGCTGGGTATTGAGGGGGGGGGAGAGGGAGGGGGTGGAGTGGGTGGTAAGGGAGGGGGTGGGGGCAGGGGGAGAAATGAACCAAGCCGTGTATGCACATATGAACAATAAAAGAAAAAAAAAAGAGGGCTTCAGGCCCCAGCTCTGAGCTGACCATGTAAGTAAAGATGAGCTTCCATAGTTATAGATAGCAACTCACCAGAATCTTTAGCTCTAAGTCAGTGTGCTTGTCCAGTGGCTGAAAGGGGCGTTTGTGGCAGCAAAGCAGACAGCCCAGGGGGTAGAGCCACCTGCTGCAGTGTAGCAGCTTGGGCCTTGGCTGGGCACACTATGAGCCCTGTAGTCCTTTAGTAGCCACTTTTGTGGAGGCAAGTAGCTGTGACTTGTCCAGAGCGCAGGGCTTCAGACCCATGGCAGTCTGCTGATCAGTGTCAACCAGGATGCCATGGGCTCTCTATGGCTATAGAAGGTGACCCAGTCTGGCTAGGCAGACATGGTAGAGAGACCATGTGGTGCAGGGTCATGCCTTCTCCCATGGAACTGGTCTTGCTGAGCTGTGCCTGAGCCTTATGGCTCCTTTTGCACAAGCACTGTTAATGTATTGTCCCCACTCTCTCATGGTAGTGGATTTGAGTCTCCAGCCCTGCTCTTGGTGAAAAGAGTCCTTGGCAAGTAGGTGGCTTCCAGTGACATGATAGAAAGGTTATAAGGCTTCTGCCTCACTGCTGGCAGCAACAGAGGGCCTAGCTGAGGGCTCCATGCTACCCAGCTGGGAAGTGTTTTCAGCTGATGGCATTTGGTGACACATCTAAAGTGCCCCATCTGTGCAGCTCTGTGGGACACATGTGACCTGGGAAGCAGGGCAGAGCCTCTTCTGCATCAGTGTCAATGGTCTCTTCTAGGCCCCACTCAGTACAACCTTTGGGGCCTCTTGGCATGGCCAGCTTGTGGTCTGGCTGGGCTTCCTGAATCCTCCTTATGAGTCCTCTTGACTCTGAAACTTGGAGACAAGTGCTTGGGGCTTTTGTCCTGACCTTCCTAAAAGCCTCTGATGGTGGGCCCTCCTTCCCTGGCTCTGCACAACCCTGGTGGCCTGGTGGGAACTTGGTTAGTCTGTGACCTTAGTGCTGCTTTCCCTTTGTTTCCGTTGGGCCATTGAATTGGGATTAAAGAGGCACTGGTTAGTCTGTGAACCTTAGTGCTGCTTTCCCTTTGTTTCCCCGTCATGGGCCATTGAATTGGGATTAAAGGAGGCACTGGGGTCAGAGTGCCTTGCATGGGATTTTGAACCCAGGTTTGTCTGACTGTTTGAGGGCTGAGCTCCACCTCAGTTTCTGGATGAGCAGTGAGTCCAGAAGCCCCTGGCCCAGGCTACTTGGGTGACTGGTGACGCTTGTCCCGTTCTCTTAGGTCCAGGACCTGCAACTGGAACGGGAGATGGCTCTGGCCACCAACCGGAGCCTGGCTGAGCAGAACCTGGAGTTCCAGGGTCCCCTGGAGATAAGCCGCTCTAACCTCTCCGACAAGTACCAGGAGCTGCGGAAGCTTGTAGAGCGGTGCCAGGAGCAGAAAGCCAAGCTGGGTAAGGATGGCCAACCCTAGACGCTCACTCCAGGTGACTCTCTGCCGACATGGGACTCTGTTCACAGTGGGAGTAGGGAGAGCAGCTGAAATAGCATGGAAGATCCTATAGATCCCTCCCCTGCAACTGGAACGGGAGATGGCTCTGGCCACCAACCGGAGCCTGGCTGAGCAGAACCTGGAGTTCCAGGGTCCCCTGGAGATAAGCCGCTTAACCTCTCCGACAAGTACCAGGAGCTGCGGAAGCTTGTAGAGCGGTGCCAGGAGCAGAAAGCCAAGCTGGGTAAGGATGGCCAACCCTAGACGCTCACTCCAGGTGACTCTCTGCCGACATGGGACTCTGTTCACAGTGGGAGTAGGGAGAGCAGCTGAAATAGCATGGAAGATCCTATAGATCCTCCCTAAGCAGGAAAGGGCCAGCAGCCAGTGCAGCCGGCTGTGCTCCCTGCTCTGTATACAGTGCCTTACGCACATTTCTACATAGAGGCATATAAAGGCAGACACTCTTGTGTATAGTTTACTTTTTATTGTGGGCATTGATAATGTTTATTGTCTGAAACAATAGCTGGTCTAAAGTTATTCTCATTTTATAGATAACTGAACTCAGATTCAAGGGCTTGCCAAGGTCACACAGTTAGAGATTGGTGGAATTGGGATTTGAATCCAGACAGTGGGGCCTTTTTTGCCAATACCACAACTCAGCCATTTCAACTTCTGCACTTTCCAGAGCTGGTCCTGGTCCTTTTGTGTCCCAGGACCTGCCATCCGTGAAGGTGGGGGGCTGTCCTGGTCTTGCCGCTTGGATAGGTTATGTAGCTTTTCTCTTTGAGGCAGCACAGGATTGGTGGAGTCCATCCCTTCCAGGACTGGTCAAGGAGGGGCCGCTTGCCAAGGTGGGGCTCAGCTCTCCAGCTCCTCTGTGCTCAGAGAGGTGATCGTCTGAGGGAGCTGGACTAAAAGGGTCCCACAGAGCTACCTGCAGGGTGGGTGCAGTGGCCCCCAGGGCAGGGGCTGGGCTCCTGCATGCAGAGGGCATGTTGTGAGCCTTTCTTGGTCCCCTGGCCTTCAGCACCAACATAGCTAATACCTTTGAAATGTCGACATCGACCTCTCTGCCTTCCCTTCCAGAGAAATTTTCCTCAGCATTGCAGCCGGGGACCTTGCTGGATCTTTTGCAGATTGAAGGCATGAAGATTGAGGAGGAGTCTGAGGTGAGGGGAAGGTGGTACCCCTCTTCCTTGGGCAGGGTGCTGGCCCCCAAGCAGGTCCTTTATGATGAGCCCAGTGTCTGCGAAGCGTGAGGCGAGG